CATCAAGCATGATTTAGTGGTGGATGAGTCGACCAGGATTTGCCGATCTACCCATGATTTATGTATCGTACTTGGTCTGTATAAGAAATGCACAAAAGTTCTAAGCTGTAGAAAATTAGATGTGTAACTTTTATTTGGGATAATCTATTTTATGATTGATTTCACCATTATTTCTCAACTGGTATGCGATTATTTTAAGAGAATTTTTCAGCTACTAAGTTATAATGAACCACTTGACCAAAAATTTGTTTTATCTAAATGCAATTATTAGCTTTGAACTCTAGTCAGAATTCTGGAAAGCCCTGCATATTCTCCGGTAATTGAAAACGTATTTCAATTTAGTTCACATATTTCACTGTAAGTATACCAATTTAGGTTGCTTAAATTTTCGTTAACAAGGATTTTGGGCATCCACAATCTCAGAAAAAATATCCCAAATAATGCAACGTCTAAGGTGGCGGCGGTTGTTATTCGACCATTTCCACACAAGCACGACAGCGATTTAAAAATTGCTTAAACGCGTACATAAGTATGCTTTTGAAAGAAGAATACAATACCCACGTATAACCAACACACGCATCCATCCACACAACAACTAACGGCAAGAAAAAGCAGCCAAAACACAATCAGGGTGCCCTTCCCCCGTCGATCCCCGTCCATCCCGTCCACCTGCCACTCCGATTCCCCACTTCCATTGTTAGCAGCTGCTGCACATTAGAAATTCAACTTCGCCTCGTCTTCTTTTAGGCGCTGAGCAACAATGGCGTGTGAATTAAAATAGAAAGCCAGGCCAGAACGGCAATGCTCTCTTGGTCGTCAGCTTGAGGCGTCAAGGTGCGATGCGTGTGCTGTGTGTGTGTGGGCGTCGCTCAAGCGTTAAGAAGAAACTCTTGCTGCCCCACACCAACCATATAAAACAGCAGCCGCAGCTCTGCTCCACGTTGGGCGCCATTTTTGTACGGAGCAGCAGCCGCAGCTCTGCCCCACGTTGGGCGCCATTTTTGTCAAGTCGCATTAAGGCAGCGCTCATTCGACTTGTTCGTTCTGCCCGTCGACGACTGCTGACGAAAATTGAACGGCCAGCAGAACGAAAATTGTTGTATAAATAAAAGCATAATTGATGCGAGACACACACAGTACATACATATACACACACAGCGAGGGAAGAAAAACAAAAAGCGAGAAGAACAACAACGGCAGCAGTCGCAGAACATTCGACGCTGGCACTGGCATATGGCATATGTTGCGTCAATCCAGCCATGAGCAGCGCAAACAAAACGACCAAGGAGCCGGCGAAAGTAGGAGAAGAAAAAATCGAGCGAGCTGTGAGACGAGCTGCGCGCAAAAATGTTTCTTCTTTTGCATATTTTACGGCGCCCGTTCTGCGAAATGACTGTGAAAACAGGTCTGATGGGTTGGAAGGGAGGCGAAGGTGGCTGCGGCAGCGCTCCGCATATCATTTTTTGGGACAGCGCGGACTTTCCTCGTATTTATCTGGCACTCTGCTATGTGTGTGTGTGTGAGCGCGTTGTCAGCTTGCAGATTTCTTATTTCTTTCAATCTGTCTTTTTTGTTTGCTTCACATGGCGAGAAATTAATTTGAAATTTAAATGCGCACCCTGCAAGCTGCGAAAGAATGTCTTTGATGATGATGATGATGACTGCGTTCGCTGGCGGGGAACATGTGTTTCTCCCCGGCAAGGTGTGACAAGGGTCTCCATCCACCATATTGGCCACTATTTGTGGTTCACTCCTCCCCAGCTGAACAAATAAAAATAGAAATGCTAATTGACTAATTTATTCGAAATTTCGTTTCTGTCAAAGGTGCGGGACTGTTGTGTGTCCTCATTTGCAGTAACTCTGCTTGTAAGTTAAAGAATTTATTTAACGGGGTGTGGCGCCTTTCCCACCGAGGGTGACAGTTTTTTTTTTTAATTTTATTTTCGCCCTTTTTTTTGCCGACTGATGCTATGCATGTTGCGCGGCTTTTGCGCTTCGTCAATCAAAAGCATTTAGAACCAAAGGCAGCTTTAATGCATGCGCGCGCTTTCATTAACAAGTGTTCGGGCCACGCCCACTTCTAAGCCGCGCCCACGGCATGGACAGCAAAAAATCGCATCAGCGGCTTATGCAAATGGCGGTGTGCGTGTGTGTCTGTGTGGGTGTTGAGTGAATACGAAATTATTGTTTACAACTGTAAACTGTAAACTTTTTTCGCTCCGTCTCCCCCACACTGTGTGTGTGTGGGGGTGTGTATTTTTTTGCAGTTAGAAAACGTTTGCCAACCGCACTAAAAGCGACTTATAACATGTTGAGTGCCAAGAGATTAACAAGGGAGCGAACGTGTGAGAGGGATGAGAACGAGGAGGCGGTGAACACCATTCTCGTCCTGGTCTGTCCATCCATTTTGCGCCCTGCAAATTCCTTTTTAATGAGCGCTTGGTCCATTCCTGGACCGGGGGCGTTCATAAGCTGCTTAAGGTTTGGCGTAATCAAAAAATGTTCTTCCCCTGCATCTCGTTTTTTAAAAGCTTTCTGTGGTACATCAACATGAAAGCCAAAGGGGGTGGGCGGCAGTAGCAGTAAGGGGGAGGGGCGGTGGTGTTGGAAGTGGACTTTGTTAAGCTTAAAATTAACTTGCGGTTTTGTCTGGCGCAACTTTGACGCCTGCAGGTAGGCAATCAATTCGGGGCCCCTTCAGGCTTCTCAACCCCCCACCCCTCACCACTACACCACTGCACTTGGCCATATAATTAATGTATATATGCCTGAAAGAGGAAAAAGCGTAGCATACTCTTGCGTGGCAGCTAAAAATTTTTATACAACACAGCAGCTGGCGTCGTTTTGCGCTAATTACCTCGCCCCTTTTTCCGCACCGCAGTCGTAATGCCAAATTGCAATTACAGCCGCGTTGAGGGTTAGTGGGTGGGTTTTTGGGGGCAAACTGACATTAAAATGCTTAATGCAGGTAGGTAAAAAAAAAAATTACTTGCTCTTAAAATTAAAAAAGCAAGTAAAAAATGTACAACTTGCTTTTGCAGGCAACGCTTTGCCATTTTTTTCCAGGCCAGGGCAGCAATTTGCCACCGTCGTCTTGCTCATCTTAAAAATTGGCCAGGTGAAAAATGGCAGCTGTGTTGTTAGCCCTCCGTGTTCTTGGCCAGGTCGGGTCGGGCGGGGTCAGACATTCCAAGCGTGTAACGCTCGGGGCAAAAGGTGAGAAATGGGTATGGGCTATGAGGCATTCCAACGTAATTGGAGGCAAAGTGCAGTTGGCTGTAGGCCTCCAGCGGATATCCCTGCTAATGCCATGCAGGTCACAAATGCGAAGGGGGAAAAGTGCGAAGGGTAGACAAAAATTATGGAAATGTTTCGGGTAGATAGCAATTTACACAGATTTCATCTTAAATTCAACATCCCCGTTTCCCCGCTCCCTTTTCCATCGAAATCGACCCACTGAATTCGCTTCGGGCTACGCTTTGATTTTGCTGTGTATCGACTGCAATCAGCTATAAAATGTGACGGTTTCGTTTTGAAATTGAAATTGACTTAAGCCGCTCTGTTTGCACTTGCCTTTGACTTGAATTGGGTACCTTCGTTATTTGTTTCTTTGCCTCACTTGCGGCTATATTTTTGAAGTTTTCGCCAGTGCGTATTTGCTTGGCATTCGGCAAGTCCGTTGGAGAATGTGTAACTTTTGGCCAGCGGCAAGTGTCATTGATTTAGCTACCCAGTTTTCCCACAGCCTGAAGACTGTAATTGCGTGCCAGGCGTTGTCCTTCAGCCCGTGCATCATCATCATCAACTTCCGCCTAAGTAAACACATGATTTCTCTGGGAGCGCCGCGGCGTTTGTTTAAAAACGCATCTAAATTGCAAATTAAGCAACAAATTTCATCAACAATATTTGAATTTGAATTTAAATGCGCCAACGAGTTGTCGACTTGAGAGAGGCAGATGGAGCGGAGCAACCCGCAAACACACAAAACCCGAAATGTAAAATTCGTTTGCTGAAAGAGTGAAGAGCGAAAGGGACGAGTACCAAAGGACGGGAGGATGGGGATGAGGATGAGGATTCGGATGAAACTGGGACTGGGACTTGGAGAAGACTTGGGATTGCACTGACTGCCTGGCTGTAAACACCGAAAATACAACAATGGCAGCGTTTCAGCCACTAGCACTCCCACTCCCCAGCAGCTGGTTTGTGTATTTGCTTGTTTGTTTGTCAAAAGAAGCAATTTACGTGCAAAATAACTCAAGTGTCATGCAAATTTCATTTATTTTTCGCAAGCGGCAAAGCAAGAAAAAAGACGAAATAATTCCCGGGCTACGTTGTCATAGAGCTAACGGCTCTTCTATACGGCTTCGGCTATATATATATATATATATATATATATACATATAGCTCTCCGGCCGCAGTCTTGGCTATATATGGTGATTCCTTACGAAATTCGAGCATAATGAAGTCACTTGGCGGGAAACCTTCGTTGCCTTCGTTTCTTTCCACTCGGGTTTCTCTTCTCTTATGCCAAAAGCTATTTTGATTTATTTTTTTTTTCATTCTCTTGTATTTTCTTTTTTAGAAAATTAGAGTAGAACGAGCTTCTTGATTTGCCATTGAAGTGCGGCATAAAAGGAAAAATAATAATACGGCATTTAATTTAATTCTAATTTTATTTATAAATCGTGGAAGCCTTGGGGGCGAACAGGCACTTGTAGCTTAAATGAAGTTTGCTAAGTACTTTTCAACGATGAGAATCAGCAACAGCACCAAAGTCGAGAACAACAACTTGAGTACGCATACTTCAGGTTTGAAATTTCATTATTTTCGTATTATTCGCACACAAGTGCCATCATCATGTGCTGTGGAAAAGCAAAGCCTTGGCCAGAACAAAATTTTCTAATTTCAAAAAGCGGCGTGGGAACCACCACTCTGGAAACCATCACGAATATAATCAAATTCATTTATCCCAAAAGTAATTTTAGGATGTCTTTACTTACCGGCATAGTTTGACTTCCGTGTAGGTTGGTTATTGCTGACTGGGCCTCCTGCTGCGAACCAAATTTGACGAAAGCGCAGCCTGCAAATGAAATATAATAGTTGATTAGTAATTATGTTTGTGGATAAGGGAATAATTTATTCTCATATATAGTCTTTCAGTGTGAAAACCACTTCACTCTGCTCGGCGGCCCTCGTACAGTATTGAATATTGAATTTAAAAATCAGTAAACATTCCATAAATACCAATTCGAAATCGCGGTTGAAGAGGTCAGATCTGGCTACAGCTGCGTTCCCTTCGCATGTGTGCGAGGCATTTAAATAAAATTTTAAGTGCAATTAAAAAACATTTTTGCAAGAATCGCTTCGTGCACTCTTGCGTGAAAATCAACATCGACATGGTCGGTGGCATCAGGGATTCGGATTCAGCGCCCATCAACGCCCATTATATAAAAATAATAGTCGGCCTGCGTTGGCGGGGTGGACTGTATGGTATGTAAAATTCAAACTGAACCGAAAAATATACAAAAAAATAATTTCGCTGCACTTGCTCGCTCATTATATTGTAATTTGTGCGACGGCTGTTGGGGGGAAGGGGATCACAATAGAGCACGGGAGCAGCTGGAGTGGTTCGAGCAGGGCCCCGACTTCAATGGCATAATTATTAAAAATCATTTATGCTAATTTAATATACAGTAATAACCACAAAAAGTAAGGACCTTCCAGGGGGGCCTCGAAAAGAGCGTAGTGTGGCGGGAATAAACGGGGCTTATACCACATGTAAGCCGGTGCTCGAAAGCGATTTAAAAATGCGGTAATGCTCAATGGCTTCGAGTATTGTTTTACATTTGTAAATTGAGAACAAATTAAGAGAGGTAAGTTCGTTTGTATAGACAGCTCACATTTATGGCTAGTTGAATTTGCATTTGTGAATTGATATGAAATTAAAAATTCAAATCTACTTCACTTAAACGAATTTAAAGTATTTAATTTTTAATTGAATATTACAATTTGATCAAAAATGTAATTTAAATTAACCGAAAGGACTCATTTGGCTAGTCTTAATATCAGTTTAATTAAATTTATTTATTTTTCAACTGTCATAAAGGGAGACTGTCCAAAAGATTAACTTGCATTTATTTTGAGGCATATTTTTATTTGACTAGCCTGAACGTTTTCTTAATGCGGTTTATTTCTGTACCAGTTTAAGGGAATGCAAAAAGAGCGTATGCATTAACTTAAGATGAACTTATTTATTAATCCCCCTTGAACTGAAACTCTATTTTCCCAAACTCAAAATCACTGATTTGTTTTGTTTCTAACCGAAAAAATGTCTGTGCTCGAATATTCAGTACCTTTCAGCCCCGCCGCCAAGGAATTAATTAAGGCCTAGCTTAACCCTTGCTCTACGGCTCTTCATCTGTTGTTTCTGTTCTCAACGCAAAACATCAACAATGCTGAAAATTAAGACCCTCCAGCAGGAGGGCAGGACGTGGGGTGGAGGGGGGTGTAAGTCCCCCGTCTGAAAACCCTGCCAAATGTCTAATTCCCGAACCCTCAGCCCTTCGAGGGTTCGGACAGGATGGGTGTCCAAATTGCGGCTTGGGCCTGTAGCTGTTGCTTTTGCTGCCTTTGTAGTTGACGCTATTCCGAAGGGCGCAATCGGAGGTTGGGGGTGGGAAAGGGGGTGTGGCAAAACAAATCCCGCCTAAAACCATGCAACATGCGAGCTGACAAGCCGAAAGGCAGACAAGCACAAATTTCGCGTGCAAACAGCGCGAAGAGCAACAGCGAAAAAGGGAAAATTCCTTTTTATTCGCCTTGTTGCAAATGTACAAAAAATAAAGTGTAAAAAATTCAAGTGGATTTTTGTTTCGGCCCGACTCGACGCGACTCTTGTGTATTTTATGTTTTGTGTGTTGAAGTGACAACAAAATCCAGAATTTTCCCTGTCCCTTTCAAAGGACAGGCCGCCCTACGAAAATGGGGAGGGGGGCTTGGTCATGGAACAGAGGGACACAAGAGTGCAAATCAGCGCTGCCAAGCTATAAAAAATAAAATATTTTGTTGCCAGTTAATCCACACAGCTGAAAAATGAAAGAGAACAACGAAATGGAAAAAAAAAACAAACGCAACACAAAAAGTTAAAAAAGCAAGGCAATTGCTAAGCATTTTTGTAAACTTAAATCAAAGTTGATTTTCCTTTTTCATTTTGTTAGCTGTTGTGTCCCTTTTTTTTTGTTTCTTTTGTGTTTGTTTGTTTTTTCTGTATATTTTTGGAAGGCTTTTTTTTCTTTATGTGAAATGTATTTTTCTTGGCATAACTTTGTGAAAAGCAAACTTTTACGTGGGGGTGGTGCAGGCTTAAAATTTTCGAACACCTCTAACAAGAGAGCCGAGAAAGATATCAGAGAAAGCTTTATAAATGTTTCCTTTGTTACATCACTTAGCTGTTTGCAAGTGCGTAAGTTCTATATCTCATTTCGTATTTATGGAAAAGTTTCATTTGCCTTGGCCCAACTCCCAAAGTTGGACATTCATTAGCATCGTGAACAAACAGTGTGGATTCTTTGCCAGTCAGATAATTGTATGTCTTTGACTGAAGTTCGACTTAGTTGACTTTCCCGAGAACCATTTGATTATTTACCCTTTACAGGCGGTCGCTCAACATCACGGATAATTGTCAAACTTGGAGTCATTATATTAATTAAAAGCAAATTAGTCAGCGAAAGAGGTGACTCAGACGGATGGCCAACTCCAAATCCGACCTCATCGCGCAGCTGCTCAACTTTGCTTTGATATAGAAGCAGGAAAATTGAATCTACATACAAATCAAGTCAAGGCAACGGACAACGGACAACAGTTTTAACAATTAGTGCTGGAGGACAGGTTGTTGCAGGACACAACACTCTCCCGTTCTTCGCAAAGCTAACAAAGTGCAACGCCTTAATTACTTAACGGACAAGGAGAAGGTAGCGAGATGATTCCCTGATTCTCGGCAATTAGTTGAAATTAAAATGTGAGCAAGTGCGCCAAGTTTTTAGCGTCTTGTGCAACTTCCGGTGAAGCGTGAAATGACGCAGCCAGCTGGTGGAAGAGCTGAGGAGTCGAGCCTAATGACACTTTTTAATCAAATATGCTAATGCTAATGCAAAAGTTGAGCCATCATTAAAATTATAGTGAAGAAAAGTTGTCGTCCGTCTGGATAAACTTGTGTTGAAAGAAGCATTAAGAGACTTGTTAAAGCTTGTTCAAGCATGAGTTTATTTTAATCACCAGCTTACAGATGGCTTATGATGGAATCGAAAGCTATCGCTTTATCTCGATTATGAGTGCAGTCCACCTATGCCATACTTTTCCATTTGTCTGCCAGACGACATTTGGTCCTAATGGGTCAATCTTTGACCGCCCCCAAAAAGTGTATGCTGCGACAATTGAGTTGCACGAGATTTCGGGGAAACACATGCGATTAAATTTATGGGGGAGGGGTGGTGGCTGGAGCTAAGGGGGTTCCATATTCATGCTTGGCCACAACTTGCACATTTGCAATACAAATTTGCAATGCCATTAATGTATGGGAAACCCCAATGCTGCCCTATCCCCCCTCGAAAAAAATGCCTTGCCATGAAAAATCGCCGCCGGTCAAACACGTAACCAAATTGCGCACAGCAGCGGCAGGAGATGGAGCAGCATGTGGAGCAGTAGCAGCAGGGCCAGGAGCAATGGCAGCAGGACATCGGGACATCGGGACATCAGTTCAGAAGAAGCAGCAGCTACAGCAGGAAACAAGGATAACGAGCGTGTTGAGGCCCCCTCGCCACCCTCAATCCTCAAACCCCCCCCTCCACCCGACCCGACACACAACTGTGAATGGGGTTTTGGTCGATATGTTGGCCTTGCCGGTCGCCGCCGGGAGGGGCAGGCTCATGTTACGGCCAGGCTTGGCAGGCAGGACCTCTCCTCTGCCTGTGATGCCTGATGTTGCCACTGCTCCGGCATGGGACAAGTATTTTAAAATCCAATTAAAAACGCCCTAGTGGGATTTTTCAATCGCTGCTGACCAGGAGACCAAGGGGACCCAGGCATCAGCATCAGCAACAAAGTTGCATTAAGCGCGAGACATTCGCTGGCCACCGGTCGCGTCATAGTCATTTGTTGGCAGGATTGGAAGGATGGGAGGGACTGGAAGGATGCCCAGATATGGCCAGGATCGCAATGAGGTGGGGTCCCCTGGACGACTGATGGCCATTGCATGTTTGCCTCTTGGGCGCAAAAGCGTAGCATGAATCTTGTTAGCCAACGTTTACACTTATTATGCGATGGCAAGGCTATCGAATTTGTTTGATGCATGTGCACATGGCTCGTCTGGAGCTAGAATGGGAAAACAAGGTAGTGAGTGCTGGGGACGGGTTATGAGATATGGAACTGGAACTGGAATTGGGGACTGCAAATTGCATTTGCGGCATGACACTCGCAGTTGAATGCATCTCGGGAGATGGCAGAAGAAATCAAATAAACTCATCCAAATGCAACATATGATGTCCGGGCAGGTAGCTAATGTCGTTTCGAAACTATTTGCGCAGAGTCCGATGAGTATGTGTGTTTTGCCCAAAACTTTGACCAGCATGTCTAATCAAATCTGTCGTTGGCAGAACTTATCAATATGGCCAACTACGAGCTGCAGAACACAAACACACAACTGTGACCCAAAACCCCCGAACGGCTGAAATTGAACTCGACCAGGCAAGAGCCCCGGCACTTTGCATACAAATCATATAGACTTTTTGGAGTGTATCCCAGGACACACTCTAATACAAGGACCGACACGTAGTTCGGAATGCCCAATGGGACCATTATTCTTGATTTTGGACGAAAAAAAGGAGAGCCAGTGTGGGTTGGTGAAACTTTCGACTACCTTTTGCCAGTTGATAAACAACAAAACTTTTGGCCCGCCAGGCCTGAGGCATTTTGAGGATTTGCAACTTCAGTAAATAACATTTCGAGAGTCCGAGCTCACTTCATATGCGAATTCATGGCCCAATCGACTTGGCCAGGATCTTCTCTATGCAAAATAGTTGCTCC